CTCAGTATCAACTTCTGACCCATCACTCAGTTGGTTTTGCCCATTCGACAAGAGCAAGGTCTCTCCCTCATTCTGCGAGGGCAGTTTAAGCGATGTCTCTGTCACTGCTTTGAGTGAGTCGATGTTTTATAGAGGAAAAGGCCGAAAGTAATGTGCTGCCAGTCTCTCCCATGTGTGTGGTTTGCAGGTCCATCAGCAGAATTACAAGAGCGCAGCTGACTGAAGGGAACCAAACATGTGAACTATAAAGCAGCAAATGGGCCCTATAGACTTCCATGGGTTAGATGGTGATTGCAACCCCTCTTTACTCAAAGAAGGAAAATGGGCAGTCTTTGTTGTCAGTTAGGAATTGACAAATCAGTGTTTGGATGGGAGAGATACCTGTTGTATCGAAACAGATGAAGAACGAATGAATGGCTTTATTAGTTACCTAATGATGCAGTACTTTATTTGTTTGATTATGAAAATGTAAGTCTTGGTGTTATGTTTCAAACTAGAATGACACCTGGAGAACACAGACCCCTGCCAATGTCAAAGGTGCATTCACAAGCTGCTTGGATGGTCTCATATCTGAGTCAGGGAGGTTGTTCTAACCACTTCAGTGTGTTTGTCGCAAAAACATTGGTGGCTAAAAAGAAATTGAGTTGTATTTTTATTACCCAGAGCTTCAAAACAACACTTTAAAAAATATCCTTGGTCTGGCTTTAGGGGCCGTTCAAGGAAACTTCCCCAGACAGGAACACCTTTTTACTGTTATCCCAGCACCACATGAATGCAAAAGCAATACTATATCTTCCAATGTTCACAAAAATGATACATAAATTGTTTAAGATCATTCCGGCCAAGTTTCATGAAAATTGGGACAGTAGTTTTCAATAATTCTGCTGAATGACATTCCGAAAAATAAAACAGCCAGGACTAGATAATAATGTAATTTGTTGCCATTAATGTATAAAATGCGGCCTCTTAAATCTCCACCCAGTCGACCATTGGCCTTCTCACAGTAGGAGATGGCTTATAGAACAGACTGTGGTTTAGGACACTCCACATCAGTATCTCCACTGAAGCCTGGACCCATGACAGCACAGGTAAACATTGATGTGCACACAAACACACGCACAAACTTAGCCAACATATACACACGATCACCTGCTATCGCGCTAATGTTTAGCAGACCTGAGCAGGGAGATGCAGTCTTAGTGGAATGTCAGAGAGGCTGACAGTGCCCAGAGACATGTAGTTATCTGGTGGAGGAGGGATCAAGTTCTTAACCTCTTCTTTGACCTACTGGTAAGAACAACAAGCAGCCCCTGATCTCTGTGGCATGCCGCCTCAAGACCCCGTGTCTCTGCGTGCATGCGTGTGTGGATTTGTGATGGGTCAAGAGAAAGGGAGTGTGCCTTTACAAGCAAGCATTTAAGTATACTGTAGGCACTTCATCGTAGAGAAGGCGCATGCTTGACTTGAGGCACGGAGAAGCTTTGTCTCCAGAAAGTCTGTCTAAAATACATGTTCCTAAAATCTTCAAACTTTTTTTTTTTTTACAACTGAACTTCAAGCCAGTTTCTACAACAATCTGTGAAGACACACATTGCAGTTTATCTGTTGCCATGCAACACATCTAACTAAACATTAGTGATAAACTATGATACTTCCAACACCAGAGCAATATAAACCAGGCTTCAATTTGATGTAATGTTTATCATTTAGGCAGTTTTTTTTTATTAGCAACCATGCGACTCTCACTCACAACAACACACACACACACACACAACAAAAACAAGCTGCCGTTTTGCACAGCAGCACAATCCTTTACTGTGAGAGGCTTTTAATGGCCTTTCCAGATTGGGCCCTAATTAGCTGTTAATCATCTAGGGCTCATAACCGGAGTAGAGACAGCAGGCATGTGTGTATTTGTAAGTGCGTGCGCATTTGCGTGTGTTTGCGTGTTCTCTCCTGCTGTCTATCCTTGTGTTGCGAGGCCATTAGCAGCAGACAAGCTAAAGAGAGCCAAACAGCCCATTAACTCCTTCAGTCTTCCTCTCTTCTCTGCCACGCTCATCTCTCTCCCAACAGTACCACAGTTGCCAGCTGACACCCTCTAATGCCAGCTATCTGTCATGACCAGAGACCTGTCCACCCACACATGCCTCCCTCTACCTCGTCCTCTGCCCATTTATCCCTTTTTTTTCTTGTCCACCCTCCTGTGCTCTGGCTCTCTGATTTGGTCTTTAAATGTTCGGTAGTACTGTACGACTGGTTCTTTAAGAGATAAAATGTATACCGACAATGTACTGATCAAAACCTCTTTAAGAGATAATCCAAAGGCTGTTTTGCACTACAAATGTACAACATTAATATTAAGAATATATGTTATTGTCTGACCACCATTGACATTTGGAGCCAACATCTTGCAGAAGTGGATCAATATGATGTGAATAATTGTACTATCTATTACTACAAATAAAATACAGTTTGTGATTCACAGTCTCCGTATAAAAGACCGTGATACTCTTTCTTTAACTGAGCTTGTTATGTTGCTCTGCTACACCTGCCTGCTGGGCTTGGCTGCACACTGAATCAATATCTCAATTTGCACGAAGTACAGAAAGAAACCGCAGACTGCAATTGTATCAGCCTGAAAGCAGTAACTAGCAGGTAGCTGTGCATGAGTGTGGGCCATTTGGATAAGTCTAAATTGCGTCTGCAGTGCTAAATTGGGCACAAAGGAAAGAACCAGAGGAAACCAAGGGAGCAGGAGTAGATGAGTCTGCCGCACTTAAACTGGCAATGAAAAGCCGCTTTGTGCTTGCAGGAGCCCAAAGCACATTAACTCACAGATGCTGGTACAGTTAGTTTCTTCTGTGGTACAGTTTTGACATATTTTTTGTGTTAAGTATACAATAACATTATCCAAATTATGAATATTCTTACGGTGGGTATGTTCTAAGTTGGTTTATTAAACCATTCTTACATTGGAGAGCAGTATTGATGGTAGATCAGTCCAAAGGAAAAAATGCTAACAATGTAATAAACTGTTAATTGGCCTTCTCACTGATTGATTGATCATATTATTTTTTGTTTCATAATTACATTTTCAATAAAAGAAATTGAAAAATGCCCAATCAAACTTCTTGAATTCTTTAGCCAATATTTTCACATTACTTATGTCTGACCTACTATTCAGATCACACACTGCAGTGCAGTACATCTTCATATAAGTAAATGACTTAAACAATTGATAAATGTATCGTTACATGACAACAATCATGTCTCCAAGTTTGACAAATGATAATAATTATTATAAGGTATATTCTTTAATCAGCACAAATTAAGTTCCATACGGGAAAACAACATGCCGCCTCAAGAACATTTGTTCCCTTATAAATCCACCTTGGCCTAGAGCATGCTGACAGCCAAAGAGGGAGAAGTGTGTGATTAATGATAGGGTCCTGGTCATATCAGCAGGCTGGTTAACAGAGCCACCGCAGGACTGCACAGGTCACAGAGCACCCCCAGCCTCATCAGCACCCATTACCAATGTGGGCACATCGCACAGGAAGCTACATCTGTTTTACCCCAACACTTTACAGAGAGGGAATGCGGTCTGTGAGATGATTACAAATCGAGCCAGCTGAGGACTTTTAAAGCATTGAAAATACAGGCATAATTATTTGCATTATTACCTATGTATGTACTGTAATGTGAATTCATGTGATTTCATTTGATTTTATTCTAGCCTATGTATCCATGAAACAGATTTGCATTTACAAGGACATCATTGAACATCAGTTAAACTCTGCATTAAGTCAAAAAGTTTTAAGGTTGAAATCTAAAAGTACCAAAGTCATACTACTCTGGAAACACACAACAGAAATAATAAATCTATCTTGTGTTTGCTGACCTTCTAGAGCAGATCAAGGTAATCTGATATAAAGAGTTACCGTAGTGTCACAGCCGTGTTGTGGTGTGTGTGTGTGTGTGTGTGTGTGTGTGTGTGTGTGTGTGTGTGTGTGTGTGTGTGTGTGTGTGTGTGTGTGTGTGTGTGTGTGTGTGTGTGTGTGTGTGTGTGAAGTAGAGAGAACATCTACAATGAAAATATGATAGCAAGTTTGACAACATCCGACATGCATATACACTGAATATCTCTGCTTTGGGCCGAGCAGGCGGAAGGGGAGATCAGAAACAGGATACTGCATCATCTCTGCACACCAACACGGTTGAAATCTCACACACGAACGTGCAGCATGTGTGTGTGAACAGAGAGGGAGCAGAAAGAGAGATGGCGAGGTGGATAGGGAGAGGAGGTGAGGTGATGTTGGATCACTTTGCCGACACAGCAATGTGAGAGCTGAGGCATGTCGGAGGAGCGGGAGGCTCAGGTAACAGGAAGAACTGTGAGATGATCAGGAAATAACACTGTCTCTTTGAATTAGCAATTCCAGCCAAAATAGGAGGGGCAGAAACTTCTGGCAGGACTTCAGTTCGTCTGGGTTATGAGACATATGAGACAGATATGTGCGTGTATGTTTACAATGTGTCTCAACGATTCGTAGTAATATCGTTTTTGATACATATGAATTCTTAATATTTAAAACGTCATGACACTACATGATACTCGTTTAATAGCTGTGCTTTCTCGCTCTTTCGCACACACACACTCTGTGCAACTTCAAGAGTATTTCCTTTTCATCAATGTAAAAACGATTTAATTATTGTTAATGTTTTCCACACTCATTCTGCTGTTCTCTGGAGCTAGCCAAGAGAAGAAAAGTTGTTATTATATCTATCTTTTTATAAAAAACTGTAGGCCTACTACGTTCCTGAGCTAAGATTTGTGCTAAGATTTATTATCAAAGTCAGAAATGTCTGTGTTGTGACAGTAACAACCTTTTAATATTACAACAAAATATCAATCTTGACCACAACAATAATGTTACACTTTATATTATTATATAATATGTATTATACATGTATATATTGCTATGTGTGTTTCTTACCAGGCGATTGTTGCGCACAAACTCCTCCGGGCTCTTGGCCCAAGGTGGCAGCTCCACATCAGAGACCATGGCGCCTTCCTCCATCACTCCCAGGTTGTAACTGTTGGCGTTGACAAACATCTCGGGGAGGTAGTAAAACTCTGGGATCAGCTCCTGCGTTGATATAGCACAGAGACACATTTAAAATAATGCTGACTGTAGTGTGTTTCTTAAACAGAAGGCACAGAGAAATGACATACCAGCCGGATTAAAAAGGGTCAGATTTAGAAAGGTGTGATCTGAATATGTCCAATTAAGGAGTGCTGAAGTAGAATAAGACCCCAAAAAAGTATAAGTCAAATACAAACAGACGGGCAGGCCTTTATAAACCCGGTTCAGAGTGGATTTAGAAATGGCTTTGTGTGTATATCTGTTACAACAGTTACACAGTGGAGTTTTCTAAATTGTACAATTATTCATGGTAATTACATTTCTGACTGCTGCACGCATTTGTGCTTTGGGCTCTATAGAAGATGTCAAAAACCTCTGAGCATGCACTTGGTTGTGGTTTTTCTCTACTCTTTGTCTGTATCTAAGCAGCAGTCATTTTTTTTCTTTCTGCCTTCCCCCTGATTCCACAAAAAAGAAACAGACGGTACCCGCCAAATTCTTTCCTAACTATGATGATTTTATTTGGCTGTCCCAAACAACAGAAAGTATTTTCAAACTGGCGGATAGTGAAGAGAAATGTAGTTATGACATGAGATGTAACCCCATATGTTTAGTCATCCGTCATTCTCAACAAAGCAGAACTTACCACAATGAGTGTAAACATTGCACTTCAGTTTGAGCTTAAAAATGTATCTAGATAAATTCATACTACCCTCTAGGCCTAAACTGTACGAAACTTCTGGGTATGTGTACATCTTTCTGATTATAAAACAATAGACTAGGATGTCAGAATCCTTGGCTTCTTCATGTAAATAGTAAAAACAAAAAAGCAGATCATAACATTTACATTGTGTTGTACTTACATTTATAGTTTTTAATATATATCATAATATGTATTTTTTTAACATATATCATAATATGTATTTTTTTAACATATATCATAATATGTATTTTTTTAACAACGTTCTTTAACAAATAACATTTATGCAAAGAAAAAAATCAAAATTGCAGTTAAATACGGTTGAATAAAACCCTTATATCTTGCAGTAATTCATGGCATGATTAATTGATCTTTTATTTCTTCAAAATACAGACAAATTGAGAACATATCTTTTAGAAATGTGTTGACTGTGAAGAAAGTTCTGTGACCACAAATGCGGACTGTCAAAAAAAGCAGAGCTATCAATTTGTTGAAAGTCTGATATCCGGGATAATCAGACTAACACCAGCCCTGAGCTAACATGCTGTAGTCTACAGCTTGCTAATACTTAGCGTAACAGGTTCAAGCATTTTGAATAAAACAGAATTTCAAGAACTAGGTCAGAGGCAACCTGATCTCTAAAAATAATAAGAGAAAACTCAAGCGTGAACATTACCCTTTTTTGAGATTAGCTGTACAAAACATCCACCTTTCATCAATGGGGTGAAAAGACCCAATCAAATGAGCAAGCAAACACACAGGTTTAAAACAACACAGCACTTCCTCACTTCTGAAATCTCTTCACTCCACAAAACCCGACCTAAACTAAAAGGTCAACCTCTTAACGAGGCCTCCTGCTCACCCAGGTTCACTGGCTGCAGCCTGCTGTAAATTTTACACACACACACACACACACACACACACACACACACACACACACACACACACAACACACACACACACACACACACACACACACACACATCAACACACACACACACACACACACCACACACACACACACACACAAACACACACCACACAAACACACAGCACCACACACACGACACACACACACACACACACACACACACACACACACACACACACACACACACACACCACACACACACACCACACATATCACACACACACACACACACACCACACTCCACACACACACACACACACAATCACACACACACACACACACACACACACACACACACACACACACCCACACCCTTGAGGGCTTCACTCCCCAACACTCTAGCTGGGCTTGCATGGACCATGATGTGCAGTGGCCCCTGTGCTCCTGCCTGGTCAGAGGCCAGCCCCTCTGATCCCCAATCCTGTCCTGTCATGGGTCACTGGAAGGGGCTCTGGCCCCTGGCATCCTTGCTACACTTCCACTGTTGCTACCACATCTAACCCCTCTTCTCCTCTCTCTCCCCCTCTGATGGCCTTTGGGCTGAGGCTAGGGGTCAAGGGATTGGGGACTGGAGGTCAGGCTAGCGTCACCCAGGCTAGAGACACATTGAATCTGGGTGTTGTAACCTATTATCACCCCTTCTTTACTAGTGGGGTATGAAAACACTGGGGCTGTTTGCCCTCTGGCAGGGACAGAGGGTTGCTATCAATGGCTCAAATGCTAAAGCTAAATGGTGTACTTAGCATACTAAATTGATACATCTTGTCCCTAATTCCTCTTTTGCCCAGTACATGAATGTGTTCATCCAAGTGGATAAAGTCGACGGGCTCTCATTCAAAAAATGCAAAAATGTCAAACTGAACAAGGAAACAAAGTGATGTGGTCCAGATTTCCCTTTATTTTGATCTGAGGTTGAGCTCTCACAGTTTGATCCACATTGACAGGTCTAGACCGAGAGAGCAAACGAGGGCTCTTGTTGGGCTTTCGCAATCAAGCATTGGCCAGCTACGTAGTAACACAATCCATATGTTTTATCGGCGGGATGTGAGGGGGGTGGTAAACGCAATCAAGCGTCAAAACCCCCAACACCACCTCTGTTCCCCCATCCAGTGACCCAGTGCCAGGAGACCAGGCCAAACTCAGCTTTGACATAGAATGTCTGACTGTAGTCGTAAATGTTTTAGGAGTGCAGTTAAAAGTGTGCACTGGGGGTTCGAAAGGCCCTCAGTATGAGAATGACCTGTGCTGTTGCGGGGCACATCCAACAGCTCAGCAGAGTTTGGGGGCCCAATGGGAACGGATTCAAGTCCAGGTTATAGCTGGCTGAATCTGAGACAGACGGCTGGGACAGATGAGGATTAGTCTTGCGCTTTGATCAGAAGACCAGGAAGCTTTCATTGCATAGGAACAATGATTGGTAGTGACTGGACATTACTCTTTTGAAACCTTTTCTTCTTTGTCTGTAAGGACGCTGGATGGGGATTTATTCTGCTGGAGAACCCAGTCCTTTATCTCTTCTAAACTTCAACCAGGAATGTATTTTCACATCATATGCGTAATGTGCATCAGTGTGTACACTACCTTAACATCAGAGGTGTCTCTCTGGCAGTTCCTCCATGCCCGGGCGACTGAGGAGAAGGTGCGGTCAGCATGGTCAAACTTTCCTCCTTGGAAGTTTAGGAAGAATGTGGTAAAGGGTTCCTGTTGATAAGAAAAAAAACATGCTTCAATTTCATCACTGAATTCTGTTGCTTTAATTGGCAACAACTAGTGTGGTTGGAATTGAATCCCTAGCTGCGCAATAAAACGTAGTAAAAGTCTCTGCTGTGGTTCAATACAGCACTAAATCAACAGATTTCAACATAAATCTACTCCTTATACACTCCATTGAACAAACTGGAATACAAAAATGAACAAGTGAATAACAATAATCCCAGTGAGCTACTGAAGCCAATACACTTGTGCTACTGATGCTTTTCTAATCATGTATAATCTTGTTAGGAGAGATCAATAGCTGTCTCTCTGATGCAACAGCCCCCAAGTGACATGGACACAATATGCTGGGCCATAGTTACAAACCAATACTGTAGATAGCTAATTAAAGTCCAGTCTGAAATGAATTATGCTTCATTTGCTTAAGAAGTGTATAGGGTTAACCACACTGTATCTCATCCTGCAGTTAAATAAGCCGAACAGGAGTAAACAGACTATAACATTTCACAAATAAACACAAAAGACACGCAAATAGTTTACATTTATTGCACAAACTGTTTTTAGTTACAGTGTGATGTTAGGTTTGATCTTTAAGAGAGTTATAAGTGAGGGTTTCTGGTAAAGTGGCTTTAGAGTAAGCCCACTAATGATGTGCGGGGATCAATGAGGTAACTCCACTGGGAGTCCCTGAGACAGTGAGCTACTGGGACAATAACAGCAGAAAACGGCACGTTGGAGAAACTTAGTAACCTCCCTCTCCCTCGAGTGCAGTATGGAAAGATTAATGGCATCCATTCAACAAAAGGTTCTGAAAGAAAGCCACCGGTGCGAAATGTACACAGCATATACTCCTTCAAAACATATCAAATCACATACTATACTACCTGGTATGCTTCAAATATGTTAATACTTTTCTTAAGGGAAAAATAAATGTCATGGCACATATTTAATGGCAATGTTTTTGATGTTTTCTTATTATTATACAGCAACGATATCAGTCAAATAAATTGAATGCAGCAATAAATGAGGGACAATATGCATGTGATGCAATATTTAGCATACATATACTCTCATTTTGAAGCAAATACATGTCTTTCTAGGAAGTAGGTGCCTAATTAAGAATACATTCAATGATACTCCAAAAAGAAACAATAGATATAAGTGTATAAAGATAGTTTGAAAAATAAGTTGGCTTTGCATTACTATACTATCCTAGGCAACAAATATGCATACATATAACTTTTTGAATGCATATCATTGTTACAAACTTTTGTGATCAACTTTTAATGGAAATTGTCACATGAACATTTTTGTACAAGAGGTACCGTATAGAAGATTTATTTGCCAAACAAACCACATTTAACACAAACTATATAAATATCACCAACTAATAAAAACAACCAAACACTGGATAATATCTGTGCATTTTAAGTAACAGAATATATCTGTGCAAATGAGCTGGGATTCTAAAATAAACAATGAGGATATGCCAAGCCTTTACAGTGGATGCCCATGCTTTTTAATGAGAGAAATCACTAAAATCACTAAAAACGATTCAACCACGAGTGTATTGTAGTTTTCTTGGCAGCAATTCAGCAATTAATCTTAAGGGCTGCATATCATAAACCTTTTTGTCATTTTTATAAAGCTGTAGTAAAAGCAAATATGAAAAACTATCCTGCCAAATATGTGAAATCACTTAAGAATTATGTATTTTTTTTATAGACATTGCACTTACGATACGCAGTAGCCACATCATGGTGAAGCTGGAGGTGGAATAGTGGGTGCCATAGTGGAACTTCGGCACCTGATCATCCTCCCAGGACTCGTATCGGTCTGAGAAGAAGGCTGCTCTCTTGGGGTTCAGAGCACCAATGGGCTATGGAGAGATACACAAAACACATTTTCAGGTATGTTAAAAGTGAAAAACAACCTGCAACATCCTTTGATTGCTGCTTTGCATGAAAACAGACAAAACACAGGGGCATTCTTAGAAAGGGAAAGCTTACTGTGAATACATTCAGGGACTTCTCTCTACAGTTGCAAGGCAAATGAAGCTAGTAACCTTTGTGCAATTTCAAATGAATATTAGATGATGTTTCCCTTCAGACGGAGATCAATCCTTTCCCACAGAGTGGTTTTTAGAGTCTGTGAAACAGAGCCCCTGCAGCTGTAGTCTGTCAGACAAAACTAATGCGCTCCAATGAAAGAGTGCCTACCAGGAATATCAATAGCAAGGCCGCAGGTTCCTTTAATTTATACTTGTATTAATCTGTAACTAATACACTGGTCTCTATCCCTATTTGCAGTTTAGTAAAAAAAATGGTTAAGTTGCATTAATTTTCCATCGCTCTACAAAAACCAATAACCCTGTGCTGCTGGGCTATTATTTAAATAGTCATTTATAGAAATCCCTTTCAGGCTGGTTCAATTTGTATTAGTCTTCCGTTGGCTATACCTCATTCCCTCAAACCCCCCTTCATCTCTTTCTCTCTCTCACACACACAGAGCGGATCAATGGTAATGGAATGATGGCCTTTTGAGGAGGAGGGCCTATAGGGCGTGGATCAATTGGATCTCTTTCATATCATAGGGTGCCTGTCACAGCGGGACTCATGCAAGGGCGAGGCATAGATATTGATCTGTGCTACTGCTACTGTTTTGTGTGGGTGTAATGGGGCATGTTGTGTTCATGTATTTGTGTAAAGGGGGAGTGAGGCACACAGGATTGGTGCAGAATCGGTTGCTTGTTCGATTTGGTGTGTGCCGTGCATATATTTGGTAAATGTGTAAATAGTCTTCCTGGTTGTGTGAGGATTTACACAGCAAAAAGCCTCGTGCCACCACACTGTGCAGCTCTGTGTTGACAGTGATACACTGTGGGCTTCCTCAGGGCCACTGGGGGTGGGTGAGTACACACTGTGAATTATACATCAGGCCCATTGCTCTGATTTATAGCCCTAATAACAGTCGGCTCATTAAAAAAAGAAAAGGGAGAGGAGGCATATAAAATAAAAAAAGACTGAAAGTGCCACAGTGACAGAGCGAGAGGGAGAATTGTGTGTGAGTGCATGTGGGGGCTGCTGGTTTGCGCGAGCCCGACATTGTTTACTGCTGTAAATTACTGTGGGGCGAGTCTTCAGCTTACAGTAGCTCCAACAGAGCCGCGGTGACGGCGCCGTACATCAGAGCGGAGCGCCCGGCACTGTGCTGATGGAGAGCCTGCTGCCGCCCCGCCACAGATTGGCCTAATATGTCGTGGCAAAGAATAGCGCTCTGATGAGGACTCAGACAAATGAACCAATCTCGTAGTTTTAATTAGACTAGAGAGAAAGCGGAGGAACGAAGATGTGCTGGCGCTTTGAAGGGGAAAACATCAGAGAATTCATCTTGGAATTGTCCTAATCAGTTCTTCATCAGCAGTGGAGATGGAGACTGTGTTAGAGCCATTTAAAGATAGTGTGAGAACAATTTCAGAAACAAATAATTACAGTTACTAAAACTACAAGGGTAAACCTTTAAATAAAAATGTACTGCATATCCATGTCACATCCATGTCCAGTGTCACAGAAAAATGTAACTGATATGACATTATTCATAAATCTCCACCCTATCTCTAAGGCTCTGTATCGTGAATGTGTTCAATAAGTCAACTTGGCAGCCTCCCTAATTATTCTCAGGTTGAGATCACAAATAAAATATGCATGTGGGAAAACACTGCCTGACGAAACAAGGATCTTCCTGAGAACTATTACACGAACATTATCCAGTGCTGCTTTGCTTTTAAAACAATAATGGGTGACCGGTGATGAAGTATAATGGCTTAGCGGCGATTTGAGCATCACTTGGGCTTTGAGTCGTAAATCAAAAGAGCCTTTTGAAAGCAGTGTTTATGTATAATGTCCTATTTAAACAGTGAAAATGGTGTGGAGGGCCTGGGGGATAAACATATGGGGCGCGTATGGTGAAATCAATACACCATTAGCTGATGTGGCTTTGAGTAGTAGGTAATAGCACAAAGGTACCGGGAACGCTCAATAAATCCTCACTATTTCTGTTGCTATGTAGATGTAGTCAACATAACCTCTGGCTGGGAGGCTAAACAGTTCCTTTGATAGTTTGTTGTGGGTTATTAAAAGCTGTAAAACAACAAGAATGACTATGCTTTTGCCTTCAGTGCAATTGTTTGACCCCCATTGACCAATTATAATCATTCTAAAAGATATCTTTATGTAGGACAAGTGCATTTTTGTGGAGAAATGTGTGCAGAACTGGGGTGCAAGGAGAGTTACACCACTCCAGAAGCAGTCAGTTCTAGTGTGTGCTTATCGTGACTACAATGTTATCTCGGGGGTCGACGTTTGATGTCAGGTTGAGGTTAGAGTTTATGATAAGAAAGTCCCTGGGGTCAGAATGGCTCTGGCAGCAGGGAACATAAATTCTGTGTGGCCTCTGTTGTAGTGGGGATGATGACAGTGTGTGACACGCACACTCACACACACACACACACACACACACACGTTCATGGCAATTTGGCTTCTCAATGTCACTGGAGGCTTCTCAGATGACCTGTTTCTATATGAGACAACCAACCAACGTGACATAAGGGGGGGGGGATAAGAGAGATGTGGATGTGAGAAAGAAAGACAGTGAGACAGAGAAAGAAAACGATAAAGAGGAAACAAAGCAGGATGAAGAGGAGAAACTAAGTGAGTGGTGAATGATGAAGACAAACAGCAACAGAGAAGGTCAGAAAACATTACAATGCAAAGAGAAGAAACACGAAGCACAAATGATTGTGGATGCAGAATGGAGGGGTGGGGGTTGATTTGGGGCGCTGTGCAGTGCTGCTTGCCCTTTTCCAGACACTGCAGTCTGCCACGGTCCAGTGGTCATACACTGATATCACACGCGTGTCAACAACATGAATAAAGCAGATGTAATAAAGATTGGCCCCACTCCCTTCCCTCCTTCTCTCTCTCTCTGCTGCTTCTCTGGGGGGGGGGAAGAACAAGGACGGCAATGATGTTGTTGTTGTTCTTCTTCTCCTCCTTCTTTTGCTCTCAGATGTACTTTCTGTTTCTCCTCCTTCCATCCATCTACCCTTCATTCACCAAGTCCCCGGGGCATGGAGGAAGAGCTGTCCAAACTCCAGGCAGTGCAAAGGAGAAATGCGGGAGGCAGAAACGAGCTTGGGAACTGAAAGAGGGCTGTATGATTGTGTGTATGTGTGAGTCTCTGTGTGTGTTTGTCTATGCGTGAGGGAGGTGGTGGTGGGGGGAGTTCAACTGTCACATTTCAGCCTACTGGGCAACATGAAGCCAGATAAACAGAGGGATTATGCAGCTTCATATAGTGGGGAAAGCTACACTGGGAGGGATAAAAACAGAGGATAGAGACACAGAGGAGCAGATGGGAAGTGAAAGCAGGACTGGGGAGAACCTCAGGGACAAGGTGTTGACTGCTGGGGTGTTTGAGTCTGTATGACAAGGCGGGGTGAACGAATGGAAGTGCGAGGAGATGGTTCATGTGTCTGTAGCTTATGTGCAGGGCTAATGTTTCAGATAATAGAGAAAATGTTATTCTTTCCAAGGTCTAAGGCATTTTAATGAATGATTGTCTCAGTGCCACCATCATTTGCAACATTCAAATTGCAAGTCATGATGTCAACGGAATCCTTGATATCAGTTGATTTGCTTGCAGAGTCGAAGTAAAGTTGCGTTGGACTTTTGTGCACATCCACATTCTCAGCAATGACCAATTGCAAACTTTGCAATCATCTATAAAATTTAAAATATGAAAAGGAAAAGACAGTTCAAAATTGAGGTAGCTATGGCCATGTTCAGACTGATTAAAGAAGCGTATGGACAAAAGAGAAAGTGAAGTGAACATTAGTGAACTTGTGCTAATAAGCAGTGCAATATTATTTGATTGAAGTTGATTGTTGGCCAATGAAATTAAAGCAAGTCTACGGAATGTTTCTTTTACGTTTTTTTGTTGGATGAACATCATACTGCTACTGTTGACCTTACATACTGTATGTCAAGATACAGTATCACATCCTTCCTGCCGGGAGAAGTCTCCAGTTGAAAAATCCTGCCTCTAAGTATTAGGCATTTGTAAAGCTTAAAAGACAGAAAATGATTAGAACATTTAAATTCCTGGATTGTATTTTATTATATCCCCACTACCTACAACTACTCCCCCTCTATTTGAACACGATGCTATTTCAGTTTTAAACATGCCTTACTGTAATATGTTAAATGGTGTCCCATTAGATGAGTACCTCTCTCTCTCTCCTTCATCCTGCATGAACATGGGATGATCTCAGGACCCGGACAAATGCCCTCAAGTGTAACTCTGAAATGCAATTCCTCCAACGTATCCCCTGTCCATTAACACATGCCTTTTTCTTTCCATGGCTGATTTATCCAGTCATTTTAGATCCAGCAGCTAGACAGTCACTCAATCATCTCACTCTAAAACTAATCCTCTGTCCTCCCACCCCTGGACAGCATTACCCACAACTGATCTTCAGTCAGAGGAGAGGAGCTGGAGAGAAGTAAGAGAGCTTTTTTTACTGTGTTTATGTGTGGAAAAAATAGGGAGTTAATGCGAGTAAATAATTACATGTCTACTTACAATATGGGGGAGAAACCTTTAAGCAGTTACAGCAGAGTGAGTGTGTGTATTTATGTGCCAGGGAGCATCTTAGGGCAGGTTTCATTGTTTTAAGCCCAATCACTTGATGCCTGGAGCTACCAGGGAGTATTAGTTCGCTTCCTGGGGTTTTGCAGAAGGTCACATTTGAAGTATTCAATTATAAAGTTTGAATAATAGAAAGAAAACAATAGCTAAACCAGCAAATGGAAGTCACAAAGAAAGAACAAGTGCACTTGCAATATGTAGTGACTCAAGCAAGGCAAGTGAACAACTACTGATACACATCATCTGTAAAGTGTTTCAGTTGCAATGTTGGGAAATGTGTCATACAGTATTAACCCAATTTTGTATATTTACAAATACATGAAACTGAGCAGACCACAGGATTTAGTTTAGCCAGAATACATTAGTTGATGAGTTATGTCAAAAATACATATACATTCATTTTGAGTAAAACTAGTGTGCATGCTTTTTTTTTTTTTTTTTTTAATTGGCAGTAATTCTTTCTAAGAGCCAAATAGCCAAACATTTGAGTAATTGAATGAGAAGAACAGAGCTGCAACTGTGTAAAGATAGCAATCTGCCTCCAGTGATTGAAGAGTTTTCACTAAACCATGATCAATGCCAATTACAGAGCAACTAAGAAGCACGCACACGCACACGCACACGCAGACACACGAAGTGCCCCTCCTCTCTTTCAGAAAGACAAGTGAAGGGGGAGAGGAGTGTCTGCCTTGTCTGTCTTACCTTGGACAGATCTCTGAAGTTGCTGGGCAGAGTGAGGTCAAGTTCCTCTGAGTCGTAGTTGGTGATCACCCAGGGGAAGACTGGGTACTGATTCAGGTCATTAAAGGTCCGACCTGGTGGAAGGAAGGTGACAAATATTGAAACATATAACAAGGTATCGAGAACAGCACACGCTTTAAAACATATTATGTGTGCATTTTCTTGATTGGTTGTACTGTGTGACAATCTGCATAACATCAGATCAGTAGTGTCCTCACCAGAGATGGTGTTGAGGAAAATAAGGTAATCAAAGTTGGATATCTCGCGGCGTTGCCAGCGCTGGGTCATGCTGGATGCCTTGAAAAGTTGCTTTGGTGTGGCCAGAGAGATACGTCTACAAAGAGAAAGAAAGAAAAATAAATATAAAAACACTTGTAGCCTTCCAAATGTTTCTTGCCCTGGTGAGAGTGGACAATCAGTGTGCAAAGACAAAAAGACATAGTCAGTCCACACATCACAAGAACAGCAATTAGCAGACCAAGAAAATGCCTTGGGCTCATTAGACTTTTAAAATACAAATGTCATTACATGAAAAATCTATTGAGCTTACAGTCTTGCTAATTAAGAAGACAAATATGCAATACAAATGTTTAAATACACATATTTGAGTGCATGTGCGCACACACAGAGCCCAGGGCATGATGTATGTGGTAGGACAAAAACAAATGACCTGCAATCCAATTAAAACTAAGCAAAATGATGGAATTAATCACTGTCAGGGTGTGAAATTACAGTCATTAGGCCTCTCAAAGGTGAAAATATGACTTTCTAAATACGAATGTATTAAAAGACACACTATTCCTTATATGTTTTTTTTTTAATAGGTTCCTATATTTTCTTTTAGATCACATAACTAATACAAAAGAGAGAAGACAAGAGGTGCTTTAAGTTGGCAAAAGGTTTTAAAAGCATTAGGATTGGATCCAATTATGACCAACCATATTACATGCATAATGAGGTGTGGTTGTGTAATGATTGTCGTGGCACCCTGGACATTGAATAATTTGTGCTGTACTGGCTATGTGAGCTGGTGTGCGTGCACTGAGCGGCCCTGTACAGCTGCTCTAAGGTCAGAGAGGTAAGGTGTACCCTGGCCTGCAAACTAGCTTGATTAATGACCCTAACACAAACACACACAAATTCTCTCACCCTAACACTGTGTGTGTGTTATAAACACACGCCATCCTACATCCACCCTGACTCATTACTGGATGCACTTCCTTACTCAGATTAATTACACATCCTTCAGTGTTCAGTGTTACAATTGCTAGGAGGAGTAAATGTGTTTGTTTTTTCAATATTGAGAAAACATTTCCCATAGATCCTAAATCTTCCTGTCTCACACACGTAACCTCCCCAAACACTCACACATCCCACGAGACAATTGTCATACAGTATCTCAGATTAATGAAGATTAAAAATGTGCACTATGCAGTATCAAAACTGAAACAAATCCCTGTGAGGACAGAATAATATTTGACCCTGTGTTTGGATTCAGATTTTACTCTTCAGTCCAATTTACAGAAACCAACAGTTACTATGTTTACTTATATGCAAACTTTGAAGAACACTGGAAACACATTTACCCTTCATGATGTTTTTTTCCTTTATCAATGTCGAAAGGTGTTAGGACAGAGGTTGTTATATACTGGGGTTAAACCTGACTTTACACTTGCCACTTTATGGTATCAAACTTAAAAATAGCTGGTTTCATCACGTAATTAAAATATGCCATATAAGACATCATATAGAAAGATTTCCTGGGCACTAATCTATTTTGATCTACACTGGGATACCAGTACTGGGATCACAAATGCTGCTGATTTGGGCTTGGCTTCAGCACTGCCCTGACACAGAGCAGACATGATTTGAGGTTGGGGGGGTGTGTGTGTGTGTGTGCCCCGCAGGCTTACAAGCTACTCTTTGCTTCACACTGATGGAAATAAATAAATTAGCTAGACTGTGTTTGTGTGAAGCCAATTATGTACAGGGGCTGAGAAGAAAGAGTGGGAGGGATGGGCAAATAGCGACCAAACCTCTGTGTGTTACAGCAAGAACTCGAGGTTTTCTAAACTAATTTCACACTTACCTACACTGTCTTCCAATAACTGTAATATTCTGATTTGTACAGATGTGATGCTGTATGTGTTTAGAGATTAATTGTGTATGTGTGTGTAGCAATGCTTCTCACCTGGTCTGTGGAAGGCCAAAGTTCGTGCCCACCCCAACACGTGGAAGACTGTGGACCACCTTCTTGACTGTGGCCGCATCTGGGAAGTTGAACATGACTGCCGCTGTAGAGAGAAGAGAAATATCTATGTATTATTTCAAGGATTATCTAAATTATTCGTTAAATTACATACAATTCACCACAGTGATCCTAATGTATGTCCCCAGCAATATTACCCTGAGAAATGGGTATGTTTATCCATCAGGGTTACAATAAAAAGGTGCATAAATGTAATTATCAGGTGCTTTCTTACTTCTGTTGGCCATGAAGATTTCCAGAGAAGTATTCTGCAGTAGGTAGCGTCTGGAAAAGACGGCTCTGATCTCTGTGAACAGCCATTTTCCATGAAGACCTTCTGTATAGGATAAAATCTGAGAGACGGGACAGGAAGAGAGAGAACAAAATGAAGGAGATTGAATTCAAAGGGGATAATGAAAATGGAATATGGAAAGGACGTTTAAGGCCAGAGAGGGACATAAGAAACCAGAGGTAAGGGAGGGAAGAAGAGCAGACAGGAGGCTAGTTTAGTTCATTTTTCACACAGTGATGGCACGACGGCCTGAACAGCACGATTAATGTCTTATATTGATCAGCCTCAATGAAAAAGCGATCCCTTCAGCAAGAGAATGGGCGCTATTCAGCTGGAAGGAGTGAAGGAAATGTTTAGTTCACTAAAAGATAATCCATATCGCAGCATACAGGTGGAGAAAAAAAAATGACATCTTATATAACAGAAATAGGAAACAAGAGCATATTGATTTGATATATAATAATTGTACTGTGATGGGACAAAGATTAGGTTAATAGCCTTTTTTATGCTAAACATCCGATTAGATATTTTTTTAAATGCTTCAATGAGCTGACCTAATATGTCCCCTTGGAGATTGTGTTAGCTGTCAGAGTGACGTGTCCTGATGGCTGCCTCGGTGTCTGACAGACACAGATGCTTGGCCTTCCCCCTGCGATTCACACTCCTACTAAGCCGGCATTTAGATTTGCTTCTAACCTACTTAGCACTGCTTTGTTAACTACGCTTTGTTTCAACCTCTGCTTTTAGTTTCAAAGGCGTCAGCTGACGGGGGGTGTACAGGGAGATGGTAGAAAGGTAAAAGGGACACTAAAGGTTGTCACAGCGTGGTGCAGAAGCTGCTTTATTAATCAAAAATATTCAAATGTGAGCTAGCATGCTCGGACTAGTGTTGAGGTAAAGGAGCTCATTAAAGGCAGGGACAGCAGAGGGGCCAGCTGAGGCTTTGGCAGCCAGCTGAGGACAGCCTCTCCCTCGCTGTCTCTGTGAGGAATAAGATCTGCTGCATCACAGACTCACTTCAAAGTCTCTGGAGTTCAATTAAATGTGGATTAGTGGCTGGGTGAAGCTGGCTGGGGCAGCAACCACCAGCCTCCTATCTTCTTTAACAGGGACTCAAAATGACTTTACCAGTCACCATGAGCCTGGAGCCAACCCCATCACATAGATAGTGCTTCAATCAGAACACCATTTTCCAACATGATGGAACAGGTATTTCAGTGAAGTAAACTGCTTTGTGAGAAGTTCAATTAAACGTAAGATGTTAATGTCAGACATTTATAAAAAAAAAAAAAATTTGTATCCACATTGTAAGTAAGTTTGACAAGCAAGTCACCTCAATCTCTTTACAGCCAACATTTAGTTACAGCCAGCAGTCGGTTAGCTTAGCTTTGCACATAGAAAAGGCACATTTCCTAAAGGTTTTATAATGAAGGGACTCCATAGCAGGTTAATCATCATAACAGATAGCATCTTTTTAATCTCCAAAGTTACAGCGAGATAAGTCATATTTGAAAGAAGATATGCAATTTAAAAAACTATAGATTTTCGACAAAATGCATAGTATAGAATATGTTATTTTCCACACAGGATTGTAATATTGGAACACTGCATTTTCAACTCTATAATAGTCCCCCCTTTCAGTCTTGTTGAAGATGATTGAATTTCGCTGACAAACAGGCCAAGACACCTGATTGGTTTTCTCTACTGACATAGATGATGGCTGTCAAATGATGTCAAGAACCCGACAGTAATCGCAGCAAGTCATCTCATTTATTTATTTTTAAATCAGATTTTCTGCCTCTATCTAACCAAAGATGAAATTCCTGTTTTCAGGTGTATGAGTGAGTGAATGTTTGGAGAGTAACCTTTGACCTCCAAAAAGGGAGTGGTTGACTCATTTCCTCCCCAGGCGTACACTCATAGACCTGCGATAGATGTCAAGAGGATGACAAGGGCTGTGGTGATAAAGTTGCAGTCTCTGATTCCACAGATAGATATGACAGTAGCGGAGGCAGCCAGATATCATATTTGTCAGCGGACCGATGAATCTCCTGGAACGCTGTAAATAGCACTCTATGTTCCCAAGATCATTGTCCCTATCAGCGGCGCCCTTTCCCTTGCAGATGAAAAAGCTGAGTGGGTGACAAGAAGGGTGACAAACTATCCGCGCTGTAATGCTCTCGCCACTCTGACCACGTCTGGACAAATTACAATGGTGTTGAGGTTATTGTCCGAGCTGGAGTTATGGCTGCACCAGCTTTCGTCTGTGATAAATAGTAATGGTGGAACTGGATCAGTCGGGCTCAAAAGAGATGAGAATGATACAGAAGCAGAAGAGGATTTTTCTAAAGAACACCAAAAACCAGAGTGTGCAATCACTTGAATGACATTTACCTTTTATCATCTGAACAAAAAAGGGCGGATCGGTTAAAAATTATTAAAAAAGAATATGATTGAGGATAGAATATTCCATAAAAGGGTGCGTAAAAAGTATCCGAAGCTTTTACGTCAACACGATTGTTTGAGTATAAAGCGCAGTTTTATTGATGTTTCATTTCAAGTGGAACATTATCCATGGATTCAGGTCTGCTGTGTCCCGAGATCAATTTCAAAGCGTCACGCGAGAGGACACAGCCAAACAGAAAACAAAGGAATGAGTCTTGATTGCAATGCTTTCTCTGCCTCTCCATCTCTCCCTCCCTCCTCTTTCAACCTGTTTGTGTGCGCCGGGCTGCTGCTCATTTCTGAAGCACTGTCGTTTGTCTTTGTCAGATGCCCAAAAGACTGCGGAATGAAGAGGGACACGTAGAAGAGGGGCCGGGTGACTGTGGCTGTGGTGTGTAACCACACACACACACACACACACACACACACACACACACACACTGTCACTGCTGAATCTGGCAGACAGTCTTTGCCAGTGAATCCTCTCCATCACCCATTCCTTCGCAAACCCAGTCTCTTTTACCAACCAATGCCTCCTCAGAAACATGGGTAAAGTCAAGTGGAGGGACAGGGTGACACAGATGACATTTAATTGAAACTGCAGTGAATTAGGGGAGAGTTAGGGGAGCAACAGACCAACTCTCAGCAGCTTGGTACAAGATAGATGAGGCTCTCAACTACCTTCGCTGCTGCCAACATGCCGCTCGTGTGTGTTTTTGGGCTGATAAGACACTTGAGTTGTAGAGGACAGAAGCCACTGCCAAATAATAATAATAAAGTCAATCCTAATGTGTCATCAAATTTAGAAAAATCCAATTTGAACACCAATAGTGTTTGTAAAATAAATGCTTCAACCTACACATGTTTGATAAGTGGTATGTGCATATTTGCTGGTTGGGTTTAATGTGCTGTGCATCCTTGAAGGAAGATGAGGTGATTGAAGTTCAATTTGTTGCCTGTTATTAAGTATTTCCGCATGGCTGCCTCAGTTAAAGGATAATGGATGAGGGATTTATTATTACCTTTTGGTCAAATGAAGTGGTGTGGGAGATAAGGTGATGAAATTAATGAGCGGGAGGAAGAGCGGTGATCCATCAACATCAAAAAATGGAGACGAAGGACAAGCTGTATTGGGAGAACTTGATAGAATTCATGAAAAAAATAAACCTGTGGACTTATCAGCATGTAGGGTTGCTTATTGCTTTTTATTTTCAAAAAGCTGTCTTAGTCCACACTGCTCAACGGAATTACTTTCACTTGCACACAGTGGACTAAGGTTGCAGATTGCAAAGACAAAACCTATTTTACTTATAAGAAAGTCACAAATACCAATAAGTAAACCATTGCATATAGTGACATCAGAGCCAAGCCTATCGTGACTCTTCCTCACTTGACTGACCAAAGAATCAAGCCATCTACAATAACCAGAGTGTCATTGGATCGAGACGCTGACGGCACTTTTACTGCAGCAGCAAATGAGAAAGAAATCACAGACTAACACAAGCTGACATTTAAGGGCTTTTTGAAACTCTCCTCTAGTGCATTCCACAAACACATCACAATTTACAACTCCTTTTCGTCTCACTATACATAACCCATATTCTTGTTTTCCTCCTCCCCCATTGCCTCAACACCCACCATCCTCTGTTCCACGCCGGTAAACGAGGCCTTGTCACCCCCCATCAGTAAATGAGTTCATCGGACTAACGAGCAAGCAAAGGGCCCCCGACACACTAACAAGGGTCTGTTCTCTGCCTGTGCCTGTGGACCAATCAGGACCCTCATCACCGTTGACACAAAGCCTCCAAGAGCCCTCTGGAGCCAATTAAGACAGATTTTGCTTTTGAGATTGAGTGATAGCTAGGGGAAAGAAAGCGTAGGAAGGACTTAGAGTATCCTACTGGAAAGAAGAACAGAAAGATGCATCAACATATAATCTTTGTCAAGATTTCTTGAACAGGGGTATTTAAATTTAAAGCGATTAAAGAAGGTGTATGGTTGGTGATTCGTTCTTTGGAGGCTGAGCTCATAAGCCACACAAGAGGGAAAACAAGTCTCCCTCACCGTAAGAACCTGAAATCATATGACTCTTAGACAGTAAAGCCACATGACTCTACTTTCACAGTCCAGCAGTTATCGTGTAGCCTTTGTGCTTCAGCAAGGGTATTATTTAACCAACTGGCATCCACACCATCTCTGTCTGGTCATGTGCTCCATGACTGTTCAACTATGGGAGCAGTGACGCTTGGCAACATTGAAAAAATAGGTATCAAAGTAATAAAGCTTGGCAAAGACAAATGAATCTACACTTGGATTACCAAAACTCAAAATATGAGTTAAAGAAAACACTCAGTATTAGATGAGAAGAATAATAACACTCATTTAAATGATTGGGGTTTCCTCGTAACCGCGACAACAAAACTCCAGGGAAACAATTCTGCAACCACAACAAGTAAAAGCAAAAACTGTTTTTACGCGTTGTTTTTTTGTTGATATAACAACAAAATACGACATGTTTTTGAGGTGTTGTTGGGTGTATAACTATCTTTGAACAGAGCTAGCTATTTCCTCGTTTCCAGACTTTAAGCTATGCTAAGGTCACTGGCTCCTGGGTTT